GTCCAGTCGGGTATGGGTGAGCACACATGTGTGCCAGGCACGAGGGGGAGCACACGCATGTGCCAGGCCGGGTATGGGGGAGCACACACGTGTGCCAGGCACGAGGGGGAGCACATGTGTGTGCCAGGCTGGGAAGGGAGAGAGCACATGCGTGTGCCATGCTGGGCATGAGGGGAGCACATGTGTGTGCCAGGCTGGGCACAGGGGGGAGCACACACATGTGCCAGGCTGGGCACAGGGGGGAGCACACACGTGTGCCAGTTGGATATGGGGGAGCACATGCGTGTGCCAGGCTGGGCACAGGGGGGAGCACACACATGTGCCAGGCTGGGAAGGGAGAGGGCACACACGTGTGCCAGGAACGAGGGGGAGCACACGTGTGCACCAAGCTGGGCATGGGATGGGCACACACGTGTGCCAGGCTGGGCACAGAGGGGAGCCAGTCGGGTATGGGGGAGCACACACGTGTGCCAGGCATGAGGGGGAGCACATGTGTGTGCCAGGCTGCGAAGGGAGAGGGCACACGTGTGTGCCAGGCACGAGGGGGAGCGCACACGTGTGCCAGGCTGGGAGGGAGAGAGCACACGAGTGTACCATGTTGGACATGGGACGGGCACACGCGTGTGCCATGCTGGGCACAGAGGGGAGCACATGTGTGTGCCAGGCTGGGAAGGGAGAGAGCACACACATGTGCCAGGCATGAAGGGGAGCACACACATGTGCCAGGCTGGGCACAGGGGGGAGCACACACGTGTGCCAGTTGGATATGGGGGAGCACATGCGTGTGCCAGGCTGGGGGAGCACATACCCCCTGGGCACAGGGGGGAGCACACACATGTGCCAGTTGGGTATGGGGGAGCACACATGTGTGCCAGGCACGAGAGGGAGCACATACGTATGCCAGGCTGGGCATGAGGGGAGCACACGTGTGTGCCAGGCTGGGAATGGAGAGAGCACAAGCGTGTGCCATGCTGGGCATGAGGGGAGCACACGCATGTGCCAGGCTGGGAGGGAGAGAGCACACGAGTGTACCATGTTGGGTATGAGGGGAGCACATGCGTGTGCCAGGCTGGGAATGGAGAGAGCACATGTGTGTGCCAGGCTGGGCACAAGGGGAAGCACACACGTGTGCCAGTTGGGTATGAATGGGGAGCACACACGTGTGCCATGCACAGGGGGGAGCACACACGTGTGCCAGGCACGAGGGGGAGCACATGTGTGTGCCAGGCTGGGCACAAGGGGAAGCACACACGTGGGCCAGTTGGGTATGAATGGGGAGCACACACGTGTGCCAGGCACGAGGGGGAGCACATGTGTGTGCCAGGCTGGGCACAAGGGGAAGCACACACGTGGGCCAGTTGGGTATGAATGGGGAGCACACACGTGTGCCAGGCACGAGGGGGAGCACATGTGTGTGCCAGGCTGGGCACAAGGGGAAGCACACACGTGGGCCAGTTGGGTATGAATGGGGAGCACACACGTGTGCCAGGCACGAGGGGGAGCACATGTGTGTGCCAGGCTGGGAATGGAGAGAGCACACGCGTGTGCCATGCTGGGCATGAGGAGAGCACATGAGTATGCTAGGCTGGGCACAGAGGGGAGCACACACGTGTGCTAGTCAGGTATGGGGGAGCACACACGTGTGCCAGGCACGAGGGGGAGCACATGTGTGTGCCAGGCTGGGAAGGGAGAGAGCACATGCGTGTGCCATGCTGGGCATGAGGGGAGCACATGTGTGTGCCAGGCTGGGCACAGGGGGGAGCACACACATGTGCCAGGCTGGGAAGGGAGAGGGCACACACGTGTGCCAGGAACGAGGGGGAGCACACGTGTGCACCAAGCTGGGCATGGGATGGGCACACACGTGTGCCAGGCTGGGCACAGAGGGGAGCCAGTCGGGTATGGGGGAGCACACACGTGTGCCAGGCATGAGGGGGAGCACATGTGTGTGCCAGGCTGCGAAGGGAGAGGGCACACGTGTGTGCCAGGCACGAGGGGGAGCGCACACGTGTGCCAGGCTGGGAATGGAGAGAGCACATGAGTATGCCAGGCTGGGCACAGAGGCG